CACTGATACAAACACTGACACCCATACAATACACAGATACACACACTGACATATAGAATGTGCAGACACACACATAAAGATACACAGACATGCAAATACAACACTACCACATATGCAGATACACAGACATGTAGATGCAAACACTAACACACATGGAGTTGCATCGACACACTGATATACATAATGACACACATGCAGATACACAAATACACACATACAAATGTACAGACACACAGAAACAAACATACATACACACACTGCCACCCATACATATGTATAGATACATAGATACAAACATTGCCACACATGCAATATACAGATACACACAATGACACACATGCAGATACACGGACACATAGATATAACACTGCCATATATGCAGATAGACAGACATACAGATGCAAACACTAAAACACATAGAGTTGCACAGACACGCCGATATGTATACTGACATACATGCTGCTACACATATACACACATATGGGTGTACAGACACACATACTAAAACACATGCAGATACATAGAAGACAGTTACAATCACTGACACACATACAGATAAAAACACACACATATACAAACATTGACACACATGCAGATACATAGAAGACCGGTACAATCACTGACACACATACAGATAAAAACGCACACAGATACAAACATTGACACACATGCAGATACACATATACGCACACTGACACACATACAGATACACACAGACACATATACAGATGTACAGACAAACAGATACAAACAATGCCACAAATGCAGATACACAAAGATACACACACTGACACACATACAGATACACAGATACAAACAATGACACACCAGCAGATACACATATACATATGCACTCATTGACACACATATAGATATACATACACACCCACATACAGATGTACAGATAAAATGACACACTCACAGATACACAGACATACAAATACACATATTGACACATACAGATACATGCACTGACACACATACATATACTGCCACACATGCAATACACAGATACACAAACTGAAACGCATACAGATGTGCAGACACACAGACACACAATTGCACAAACTGGCACACATGGAGATATGCAAATGCAAATTGTAGCAGAGAGGAACAGCATAAACTCATCCAGGCAAAATAAGTACAGCGTACAATAATTCCGGTAGCGTAGTATAAATCCTTCCTTCCCAAGAACTAGACGACACATAAGCTGGGAGTCAACTGAGCTTTTAATCACAGGTCACAGTATTTATGCAGTTCGCCATGCAAGGGGTTTCCCTACTGACATCACAGGGTGTAACGGACCGTTTTGCACACAAGAGGTTAAAAAATGTTTAGGAGATATTCCCCTTTCAGATGCACAGGCAGCTACTGCAACCACCAATCTCCCAAACGGGAACCTCACGAATAGCTGCTAGCAGACGAACAGGAAAAGCATACAATCAGCTTACACTCCTGGCAATCAGCATACAATCCAATTCCCCCAAGAACGAGACGACACTTCGTTTGAGGGTCAAGCAGAACAGGCAGAGCTGTCGGTTTATTGTTCTTATATACACATTCTGACACATTAGTACCACCCACAGGGTTTTGGAAAACAACCAATAAACACGTACAATACACTCAGACACCCCCACACACAATCCTTCCCTCTGCCTGTGATACAACTACCTTATACAATGGGTAATGTAATTATCACAGGCAGAGAAATACAGTTTTTTCACATTATTCATAATTTTAAAAGTATGCATCACATTCACATAAAACTTACATTTTCAGAATCAGCATACTCCAAATACAAACTGTTATGGTGCCCCCAGGCATAAAAGGGGTTAACAGCCATTTAGGAGATATTCCCTTCCAGATATACAGGCAGCTACTGTAGACACCAATCCACCGAACCGGAGAAGCATATGAATGCTCTCAAACATACAAATGCTGTAAACAGCAGAATAGGAAAAAACAAACGAAAGATTTACACTCCTAGCAGTCGAACTGGAACAGCATACAATAAATCCCACCAAGAACGAGACAAAGCTCCATGTTGAGCGTCACACAGTGATCTGATTTAATGGGGCTACCTGCCCGGTATATATTCAGGTCTTCCACCTGGTGGACACTCCTCTAGAGGACCAGATGGAAGACTGGGACACAAATGGTAAAATTACCAATCACAGGCATATAAGGTTAAAACACTCCCACAGTACATTACAAGCCATCCCCTCTATCCTGGAGATAATTGGGAAGTAATCAAATTATCTCCAAGGTCAGAGGTAAAACTCCATTAACCACATGGCAGTAAAAAGACATAAAAATATATAACTGTGCAGCCATTGCATAAAACAGGTACCTATCCCCAGATAGCTTAGATCTGAGCGCACATTTTTACCAAATGGCGCTCAAATCACATACATACAGTTCAATCGCCATGGAGCCAAAGTCTTTCACATAGTCTTTCGATATACGAATAGGCTCCATGGCATAGCTATCTGGGGTAACACTGTTCACATATTAAAATATCGAATGGACCGGCGTTCGGCTAAACGACTGAAGGCAGAAGAAGGGAGGTCGGCGGATCAGCGGTGTTCGTGCGTTTAACTGTCCATTTTGAGTACAGAGGCAGCAGGCGAGCAACCAGGCTTCTCAAGAACATATTGGCAAGGTTGGTTCCGCCACACAAGCATACGTCAAAATCATACAAATTGGTCCTGTGGTTCAAAAGATAGATCATACTCCTTTGTGACCAAATGAAGCATGGCTTTTCTGCCCAAAACCAGTTCCAGTCCCAAAACCAGTCTTCTATCCTGGAGATAATTGGGAAGTAATCCAATTATCTCCAAGGACAGAGGCAAAACTCCATTGAACACATGGCAGCAAAAGACAATAAAATACTGTAAGGAAACCGGGTTTATGTAATCCTCATTCGGTAGTTTCCTCACGAACCGCCAGAGCATCAGTGAGTATAGCTCTCCGTTCGGTAGTTGAAATAGACGAAATGTATTGTAATACAAATAGCTTTACAAGATAATTCCCTTAATAAAGCACACAAATCCCCAAACATCAGCCGAAGTCAAGAAGAAGGGTACAACTGAACTGACTTTAATGACCACACACAGGCTTTTATGCAAGTCCCCATGCAAGGGGGACATCCCACAGGGAGGGACACAGTTTAACCAATCCGTTACAGTAAAAGCATAAAACACACCCAGTACACACATACAATTCCCTCTCCTAGTCCTGGAGATAATCAAGTCTGATAAATTAATAACCTGATTATCTCCAGGCAGAAAAATCTAAATTTTCCTCAATATTTGGAACACCCCTTTATACATGAGGTATCCCTACAAATATGTCCCCTGATAGCCCCGATCTGGGTGACCAACATATTTAAATTTCACCCAGATCGGTTCAGAGGTTCTCAAAAAATATGGAAGTCTTTTGTGACCGGCTAACCGCGAGGTGGCTGCCCAAAATAGTTCCATAAATTTGGGTAGATTTGCCGGTCTATTTCGTTAAGTGGCAAAAAACAAATAATTCCACGAATGGTTTCCCTTGGCTCTTAGCAGTGATTGTTCCCCTCCTTCAAATGAACAAAAGTACTGAACAGCGCTTTTCTAGCTATTCGGGAAATAAAGATCCAGCGTTCGCTTGTTGAGACTGGTGTTCGGGAAGTCGAGTGTCCGATTTTAGTTCCAGACACTCAACGACCAAGTCCCACTGCCTTTGTTCGCATAAAAAAAGATGGACGACGTTTTTTCAGTCACGTGGCGTTCAGTGGTACGAACGCCAGCCGAACAGGTAAAGGGTTCAATTGAGGCATTCTTTGAAGTTTTACGAGCAAGGGGTGGTGGTCTCTGTTTGGTAGTTACATCTACCGAATGAATAGGAAAGAAATATTAAACATAAAAGAGGTATTTCTTCTCACTGCTCCCCTATAGTTCCATAGGTCGGCATTTCCGCCTAGACCCTGTTGGGTTGGCTTGGGGATGTCCGAGAAAAGTACTGTAGCAGTACAGTTCGGTCTGTCGGGACAGACCATCCGCATTACCGTTTTGTTTGCCCGGACGGTATTGCATAGTAAAGTGTGGCAAAACTAGCCACTTAGGACTGTATGTTCATTGATGTGATGCTTTGGCTTTAAGGCTATCCGAACTGAGTGTATTCCCCTGCTTGTATTTGATGCGAACGAGAGCATTTGAATGCTGGCGGCATGAAAGCCACCAGCATTCATATAGTAGTTTCACGAACAGTGAATTTCAACACTGTTCGTGAAACTAACAAACTACCGAATGGGAGACCACACACAGCAGGTCATGTGGCTCCCATTAAGTATCGCAACATTGTATCTTTTGGTAGTTAATGGATGTTCAGGGTGGCCGCCGTTCGGATACCGACCACGCGGCGGTCGGCCATTTTGGATCCTTTGTTAGCCCTGCGGTATTTTGCCGTCAAGTGCCTGGAACTAAAATCGTCTACTCAACAGCACGAATACCGCTGGACTTCCAGGTCGTTCGGGAGCATCGGTCATTCTGTATTTTATCCCTGTTGGTCTATTCGTGCCTTTGTTAAAAAATTTATGTTTTGTGCGGCGTTCGGCTAATTGTGCTGGGATCTGAGCGGTACTTTCACAAAGTATGCACTCAGACTCCAGCTCTCTGCCGAACGGTCATTCAGTATAATAGCATGAATAATGTTAAAGTTATGTATTTTTGTGTAAAAAGCCAGTTCTGCTGCACGGAGGGATAATCCACTTAACTGGATATTTTAGTGGGAGTATCCCTCTCGTGCAGCAGTGCATGGTGAGAGAAATGTCTTGGTTGTCAAGTCCCCCATGTAGTCCCCTACTGTACAACCCCTGTAAAGTCAGTAGGGAAACCCCTTGCATGGGGAACCACATAAATACTGTGACTTGTAATTAAAACCTCAGTTGACTCCCAGCCTATGTGTCGTCTAGTTCTTGGGAAGGAAGGATTTATTTAACGCTACCGGGATTATTGCATGCTGTACTTGTGATACCTGGATTATTTTATGCTGTTCCTGTGTACCAGCGGAGATACTGTGAATTATACCACCTCTCCGCTACAACTGGTGGTAGCGCTGGGATTTCAAACACACAGAAAACCAGCCTTCGGCAGTAATCACATGAATAAAGAAGAGAAGCAGCAGTTCGACGGAACAAACCATTCGGATAAAACCAGTGTTCGGTAAATATGTTAAAGTATGCGAACAACTGGTGAATGGAGTTGAATTATGCAACACTGAAACGAACTACGCTGAAGGAATTATTGAAAGCAAGGGGAAAATGCCCCTGCATTAAAACCAAAGCGACCCTTGTGGCAGAACTCATGGAGGGAGACAGAGAAAACACTGCAACAGCTCCACGGAAAATAGATCCCAGTGAATTCGACAAGGAGATGTCGGCAGGCTAGCCTTTTATCCAGAATAGGCTCCACCCCCCCCATAGAGATACTGTCCCGACTGATGGCGGACGTACAGGAGTACCTGTTGGTCAAACTCCAAGCAAATCAGCGAGCGGGAGAAAGAGCCACAACGCTGGTCAGCATTACCCCGGGGAAAACCAAAATCCCCTATCAAGCATTTAAGAACTATACAGAAGCTGACACCATTACCAGCTGTGACCTCAACCACCCAGCCGCGACCAGGGGTAAGCCAAAACACCTACACCCCCAAGTACCCTACTCGTCCTCCGATCCGTTGCCAAACCTGCAACCAGCAAGGGCATATACAGCGAGACTGCCCACGCAACCGACCTAGGCTAAGCTGGAATAATGCAACACCCCACAACCGAGCAACCATGCACTGTGTACAAGCCGATCAATACGGAGCACCCAAGACAGCCACTCCAATGGAAGAACCTTTAGAGGCCCTACATGAGATAAACCCGATTCAGGCCACCTCGGATAACCGGCAGGGACACCGACAAGAAGTACACATGGAGGGGAAGAAGGTACAAGGTCTACGAGACTCTGGTGCTACCTTAATGCTAGTCCAAAATCATCTTGTGCCAAAGAACAATCTCACAAGAACTCAATCTCGCTGTATGGGTGGCAGGGGGAACGATTTACAAAGTTCCCACTGCCAAGGTGCATTTGAATTGGGGAGCAAGGCATGGGAATGTGGAGGTGGGGATGATGGAGGATTTACCCGCTGACGTTATCTTGGGCAACGACCTGGGGGAGCTGACTTCAGCTTTTGTTCTTCAACACACCATTCAGGAGGCTTACCCGGTTGTGACCCGGCAGCAGGCCCGCACCACAGCTCCATCTAACCACTCTGAGGCTCAGGTAAGCAATGAATATTACCTGCCCTCTGTCCTGCCCTGGGCGACCCCCCTAGAACTTGGTTCCGAAGTGGCCCTAGATCCCTCACTGCAGATATTTAAAGACCGCATAAACAAAGACCAGGCAGGGCTAGAATGGGAAAGGTACACCTGGGACAAGGGGTTACTGTACCGTCACGCAGGGAAGGTAGTAGCCAGATCTATACCTCTACCCATTAAGCAGCTAATTGTGCTTCGGAAATATAGACTCGAGTTATTACGCATCGCCCATGATATTCCCCTGTCTAGGCACTTAGGAATCAGCCACACTAAGCACAGGCTAACCCAGAATTTCTTCTGGCCAGGTATCTCACAGGATGTTAGGCGGTATTGTCAGACCTGTGATATCTGTCAGAGGGTAGGGAAGAGGGGAGACTGAATCCAAGCTCGGCTCCGTTCCCTGCCCATAATTGAGGAACAACTCAGTAGGGTGGCGGTGGATATAATAGGACCCCTAGCGATACCCAGTCCCTCCGGCAAGAAATACGTCTTGAACATGGTGGATTATGCCACCAGATACCCAGAAGTAATGGCCTTAACTAATGTGCACGCGGAAACAGTGGCGGATGCCCTTATGCGAATATTCTCCCGCGTGGGATTTCCCCGGGAGATTATTTCGGATAGGGGCACTCAATTCCCCGTCGAAGTCACACACCAGCTCTGGAAGATATGCGGGGTACAACAGATCTTGAACTCTGCATATCACCCCCAGTCCAATGGTCTCTGCGAACGATTTAACGGAACCCTCAAACAGATGATCCGTACATTCATTGACACACAGAAGGACTAGGAAAGATTTATCCCCCATTTAATTTTTGAATATAGGGAAGTACCCCAAGAGTCCACCGGGTTCTCTCCGTTTGAACTACTATTCGGGAGGAGAGTGAGGGGCCCCCTCGATTTAATCCGAGAACTCCGGGAGGGAGAAGGGATCATTAATGGCACACCTATCTAACCCTATGTACTGGAGTTTAGGGAACGCTTGGAGGCTCTGACCCAGACCGTGCACGACAACCTCCAGGCGGCCCAGCAACGACAGCGCAGATGGTACGATAAGGGGGTCAGGGACCGCAGCTTTCAGGTGGGGCAAAAAGTACTAATCTTATGACCAGTACACAAGGATAAGCTGCAGGTTTCATGGCAGGGCCCATACAAGGTGGTAGAACAGATATGTGATACCACCTATGTGATTGGTCCGGCCGCAGGCGCAGGGGGCAAACGCATGCTCCATGTGAATATGCTCAAGCCATACCATGTGCGTACCGAAGAGGTAACCGCGATCTGCGCGCCATCTACCGAGGACTTTGATAATCTACCTCTTCCCGATTTCCTAGACCGAGAGGGAGGAGTACAGTTAGGGGAGCGAACCCAAGCCCAAAGCTTAATCAGGGAAAAGGGGGCCACCTTTTCCAACCTTCCCGGGTACACCCCATTGGCCACTCACAAGGTAGAAACCCTAGAACAGACCCCATTTCGCTAACCTCCTTACCGCATACCAGAATCCGTAAAGGAGAACATGCATAAGGAGATTGAAGAAATGTTACAGCTAGGGGTGATAGAGTATTCTGACAGCCCATGGGCCTCCCCGGTAGTGCTAGTGCCGAAACGGGACGGGACGACCCGTCTTTGTGTAGACTACTGGATAGACGAGCTCCTAGACAAAATGGCCAGGGGTCAGTACCTTAGCACAATAGATTTGTGTAAAGGGTACTGGCAAATCCCGCTAGCTGAGGATGCCATCCCCAAGTCACCGTTTGTCACCCCGTTTGGCCTGTACCAGTTTAAGGTCATGCCATTCGGGATGAAAAACGCCCCGGCTACCTTTCAGAGGATGGTGGATCTGCTACTGGATGGGTTCCAGGAATACGCTTGTGCCTATCTAGACGATATAGCCATTTTCAGCCACTCCTGGACCGAACACCTGACCCACATAGGAGCCGTATTAGACCAGATTAGGGAGGCAGGACTAACTCTTAAACCTAGCAAGTGCCACATAGGGATGGCAGAAGTTCAGTACCTAGGACATCGGTAGGAAGCGGTCAACAGAAGCCAAAACCCGCTAAAATCGAGGCAGTCACCAAGTGGCCAACCACCCGCACCAAGACGCAAGTCCTCGCGTTCCTAGGTATCGCAGGGTACTATCGCAAATTCGTGCCTAACTACATCACCCTAGCAAAACCCCTCACCGACTTAGCACGTAAGAATCTCCTTAAGATCGTGGTATGGGCCCCAGAGTGTGAACAGGCATTCCAACAGCTCAAGACGGCACTTATTCAATCACCTGTACTTTAGGAGATGTCTAATAAATTGGGGAGGGGCAGTCCCTCACTATCCTCGGAAGAGGGGGCACATACTGCACCCGCATCTTCAGTCCTCTTGAAATAGGGCTTGAGCATGTTTACATGAAAAACTTTGGTCAGCCTTTCATCTGAACACTTGCTCACAATATAGGTGGTATCGCTTATGCGCTCCACTAGCTTAAAGGGTCCCTGCCAGGTCGCCTGCAGCTTGTCCTTCTTAATGGGCCTTAATGCCAACACCTTCTGTCCTATTTCTAGTACCCTATTTTTGGCGCCCCTATGGTACCACTTCTTCTGGCTTTCCTGGGCCACCCGCAGGTTCTCCCGAACAGATTCGGTGAGGGCCCGTAGTCGGTCCCGGAACTCCATAACATGCTGGACGATAGGGATTCCCCCCTTATCTGTGTTGCCCTCCCAGTGCTCCTGTACGAGATCCAGCGGGCCCCGAACTTTTCTCCCAAACAGGAGTTCGAAGGGAGAAAACCCGATGGATGCCAGGGGCACTTCGCGGTAGACAAACAGAAGGTGGGGTAGATACTTCTCCCAATTCCTGCAGGACTCTGCGAAGGTCTTTAGCATCTGCTTGAGCGTGCCATTAAAACGTTCACAGAGCCCATTCGTCTGGAAGTGATAGGGGGCACTGAATAGGGGCTTTACTCTTCAGCTCTGCCACAATTCCTGCTGGACTTTGCGAAGGTCTTTAGCATCTGCTTGAGAGTGCCATTAAAATGTTCACAGAGCCCATTGGTCTGGAGGTGATAGGGGGCACTGAATAGGGGCTTTACTCCACAGCTCTGCCACAATTGCTGTGTCAGGAGTGCTGTGAACTGAGTCCCCCTATCGGACAGGAAAACCTACCCAGGAGAAAATGTTAACAAGGGCCTCCGCTACGGTCTCTGCCTCTATGTGTCAGGATCGTGACAGGGATCCAACACGCAGAATGCAAACAGGAGGAGGTACGTATACCAGACCTTAGAATGGCCAGACTAACGTATAGACAAGACAAAGAATGGTCAGAGACAAGCCGAGGTCGAGGGAACGATAGGACAGGTAAGCGAGAGACAAGCCGAGTATAAGGGTAAGAGAAGGTAACAGGGTCGATAATACAGAGCCAAATCAAAAACAAATAATCACAAGAAAATAAGAGCAGAGCAGAGTGACCAGACTAGCTAGAACCACGACAGGGCAATGAGTTATTGCAAATGAGTCTCTTTTATACCTTGGTTCCTTAATTGGTGACCACGCCCCCAAAATGTCCTGATTTCCGTTTTCTGTCGGTTCGTGACGTCATTAGCATCATGACGTCGGCTATTGAGTGCCGCGTCATAAAATGAGGCGGAGCTATCGCGGCTGGCGTGTAAACGGCCGGAAATGCCGAAACGATCGGGTGTACAAGCCCCCATCTGAGGGACCACGTCCAGATGTCTGACCTCCTCTGAGGTAGATACCACAGGTACCATGAGAGTACCCCCCCTTTCAGACACGCCCACCGGGCGGACGGGACCTGGGCGAGATGGAAATCAAGAATTAAATTAGGCAATGGCCAATCTAAAATCGATTTAAGTTTAATTGGGTT